CCTGCTGAAAATTATTGCAATGCACTGTGTTCAGTCACAGCTTTAGCTTTGGTATTACTGAATATTAAGATATTGTCCATGAATCAAAAGTCGATGCTGACACCACATGCACACATTTCAGTCTTTTTCCACAATGTTCACACAAGCCAAGAGCAACTTTTATGGAAACTTTAAGTGCATAAACTTGCATGTCTTCTGCACAAATGTAATTAGTGTTTTAATGTCTCTTAGCAAATAACACGGTCAAAAAAATTAAAGTCATACAATCTGTGTGGTATATATTCATAAAATCTTATAAACAGACTTTGCCCTCTCATTTGGCCCTGGAATAAATAAATAACCAGTACCTGTAGTGAAATTCACCAATGACAGTGGTGCTCCATCAGACCACTGCCACCCCTGCCCATCCTTCAGGTGGTTCAGTCCAATCCACACCATGACTCCAACACTTGCCAGTCGATCTAGCACAAGAAATAAACACATCAATGTTGTATAAGTTGTCAGCAATTCTTATCTGATTTGAGTGGAGCACTAAACTATTGGCTGGTCAAACATGTCACTGCTCATTATTTAAAAATAATCAGGATAGCAGAAATGAATAAAATAAATATGGAGTGATCGTGAGCAAGTGAAAATATGTGAAAAGGAGCAAAGGCAAAAATCTAATCTGAATCTATGAAGAGAAGAATGTGTGTCCCATTGAGGAATAAAAATAACAACATCATATTCTAGTACTGATGTATGTTTGTTGATGTAATAAAGTTACAGCACACTTCAGTACAATACAGTACAGTACATCCAGCAACGTTATGGTTCCTGTATGTGATTTCTATCAGATGCCTACCTCTGATGTACCTGTGCTCTGCCAGGCTGGTGATGCTGAGCAGGTTTCCACCTTGAGCCTGGCAAGTTAACAGAGCCTGACTCCAAGTTAGGATGGTGTACAGGTTGAACTGGTAACATGCACGCAGCTCCTGGTTTGACTCCCAGAAACGCTTACAACTGGAATCTATGAATAACGATATGACTTACAAAAGGCAGTAAGAAACTGATGAACTAAAGAGAGAGAAGAAAAGCTTGCATACTGTATGTCCAGGTGAGTGTGCAGGTAGGAGGGTATGAATCACGGTCAAGTTAATGTAAGCACAGATAAATTCTGACATTATTTAAAGTGTGTTTTTCTGGAGGAAAACAATAAGAAGTAGTGTGAAATGCAACAATGGTCCCCAGCTAGGAATGAACCAGAGTATCATGGTATATAGTACGTATCTCACCACTAGGTTACCAGATGCACAACAGAATTTTTAAAAGATTTAAATATACTGTTTATTTAGAACTAAATAAATCTCATTGGCACAGATTTTATTTCTAGTTACTGTGTATATTCTGGCAAAAAGTAAGCCAACACCCAACCATTACACGCTTATGTAACTGCTGAACATTTGCTTTCAAAACCATGTGTTACTGTAACAGCCTCCACTATCCTGGAACGGTTTTGGAACCTGCTGCAGGGAGTTTCCCCATTTTACAGCCACAGGATTGTTGCTGAAGCTGAGCTCTGATGTTGCAAGTGTGCAGTGCCAAGTGTGGCTCACACTTGGCACTGCTGTTCATCCATGCTGAATGGGGCTGAGTTCAGGCCTCTGTGCAGGTCAGGTTATTCCACAGCAAAGAGAAAACCAGTTCGTTATGGACCTCGCTTGTATAAACATGGAGGCATTATGAAACTGAAATCAGAGGTACACACATTCAGGCCAGGTAGTGTAAATACTAAAATTCTTTTCGTACTCTGGTATGTCTGTGTGTTGACTTTACCTTGCACCGGGCAGAAGCCCCATTTCTCAGCCTCATCATAGCGAGGGGTGGTAGCGCACCACAGCAGGTGGCCCTCGAGCCCCTCTGTCGTGCACTCAGAGTACCACTTGTTTTTGTATTTAAAGGGCAAATCACAGGGCATGCCATGTGCATTTCCGAACAAAGTGTGGATATCTACAAATAAAATGCACACAGTGTAAAACTAATTGACAAATATTCTGTGCAGCTAAGTCGGAGACTGACTTTTTAGGCCTTTACCTTCATATGGATATGAGCAGGGCCCCTCTCTAGGCGTGTTGTATCTTTTCCACTCATGATGAGAGTTTTTTTTTACTACCACCAAACGTCCAGCCACAGCCACCTTCCACTGGGACGCCCCGTACAGCATGTTTCCGCTACAGCGCCACCACAGCACAGGAAGGCCCATGTCACACTCAAACGTGCCAAGAGGCTGTGTTGTGTTTGAAATGTTGAGGCCCAGGCACGTGCTGGTACCCAGATTGAAGAGGCGATGTCGGGATACCCACTTCCACAGCATGTGGCGCGTTGGCCGCTCACAATCCTCCAGCACCAGGTTAGAGCGATCCACTGTGATACAGCGTTTCAGTGGCTCACTCTCCAGGATAAACGCACCCTTTTCTGGAACGAGCATGAGACAAGGAGAAGAAGCGATGAAGAGAAGCAGAGGAAGAGAAGAGGGCTGAGAGAAATCTGGGCAGAACTGAGTAAATGATGTGGATGTTTACCTTAAAGAAGGGAAGGATAAAATGAGCAACGGTGAATAGACTAATATATATCATGACATAATGCAAAGGGTCTTATATAAAGTCAGTTTGGTGTTTAATAGTAAAATGAAAATATGTGCACTATCAGTTTATTTTACAACACATGCACACATGCAATAGTTCACCTCTTTGATGTACCTCCACCAAAATGAAGCAATATTGAAGCTCACTGAAGGCCTGGGGGAAAATGTTTGTCCAGGTGTATAATTTGTGCAAGATGAATAACAGTCTCTGTGGATCCTCAGACTAAACGGATGTATAGTGTGTGCACAAATGGCAGTGATAAAAACAGCTGGAGGATTTGTCCTTGTATAATTGTTCACACTGCTTGTGTTGAATGTGCATTGTACTTAGCACTAGAATATTTTTGTGACCATAAGTGTTGTACATGGGGTTGTCCTGATATCTTTCCCCTGTGCCTATACTAGAATAGTGACAATAACATAATACTAATATGCACACAATATGGTATTGTGTTGAAGGAAGGGAAGAGGTGTTTAACTCAGATCTAATATGGACAAAATGAGGGCTGTGATAATAAAGAGATACAATTTTAAAAGATCAGCTAATTTACTTAGCCATTTGTTGATTTGGTGAATCTGTTAATCATCTATAAAATATCAAACATTTTTATCCTTGGTTTCTCAACTCAAGCTGGCATTCAGCTTGCTTGTTATTGTCCAACAGCTATTGAAAACAGCTGGAACCAGGGCATGAGACAAATTCATTTTCATGCTGGACTGATCAATTCATCAGACATCTCAACTCAACTAATTCAGCATGCAGTGACATCAAGCAAATAAAATCAGCATCCTCACATGTGAAAAGCTGGAATCAGTCAGTTTGACATTCATCTTTATTAAACTAACTGATATTCAAAAACTTTTAATACAATTATACTAATTGAAAAGTCGACTAATCATTTCAACCCCACTGGAAACTCAAATTTGAGAAAGCCTGATTTTCTTCTTAAATTTAGATTTTCTTGTTTGTTTGGTTTAACATTTAATAAGCATCATTGTTGGTAATGTGAACCGGCTGCAGCGGTAGGGCTCAAACTGTGACCACCCAGAAGCTAATTAAGAAACTTTTAAGATAGTTTAGAGTCCTCAGAAACTGCACAACACAGTGTGGACGTGTTGAAATGATTCCTTCCTGCAGTACAGTTCTGTGTTAAAAGCACAGAACACACCATCCAACCAAACGAGGCGCCGTGTTCTGCAGAAGCTGCGCCCAGATGACTGAACAGCTTACTGTAATACTCCGTGAGCTGTTTTTTCTCCAGGACCTCATCGTCCTCCTCGGTAACACACAGGCAGCTGTTCGCCAGCAACACTGTTACACAAATAGTCGCCACAACGGCCACGGAGTCGATGCAGCGAAACAACTGTATTAACATTTCGACGACGGGGTGCAAAGTTAGAGTGCAAGTGTCCGCACAGTCCGACAGTCCCGGTCGGAGAAGGTCTTCTGGGCTCGTTGTTTTTCCCCCTCACAGAAAAACTTTTTCAGCCGAGGACCAGCGACGTCACGTCTGACGGAGGAGCGTCTGCTGCTCCCCGATTTGTTTTCACTGGGACAGAGCCACAGAACTTCACTTAGACTGACCCAGAGACACTGAATAAACAAAGATAGACAGATAGAGACTAAATATAGCCTATGATTGTAATATGTAGGCTACAAATATATGAAACTGTAGTGGTAATTAATAGTTTATAATTAATTAACAATTAATATGCATAAAATCACAAATTTTCTATTTTGTTGCATAACTGTTTTGTAATATATTGCCTTTATTTGTACATCCTATTTTATTTGTACATTTGCTAATGAATGGTGAAGGTAATTGTATCCTTGGTTATATCCTATGGTAAATGGTAAGCACAACACAGACAAGTGGCTTACTACACAGTAAGTTAACATGGAACTTTAATTATCTGTCATGCCACCAAAAAACAACAACAAAAAAACAGTAATTATCATGGAAGGCTCAGCCTTGTTTTACAGTGAATCAACAAACACAATATTAGAAGAAATCATAATCATCCATCTTTATATTTACATTCATTAGAATAAAAGATTTTCTTTCAGTAGTAGACCACTCAGTGTAGACTCGTCCTTTCCATGCTGCACCTTACAGTAGACAGTAGTGTTTAAGTGCATGCGGGATCATGCAACAGGAAAGTGCAGTGTTTAACAGTGGCAGCGCACTATTACAGCAGCGGATTCATCACGTAGCCTTTATCTGATCACAGTGTCTACCGTGTGGTAACATCTCTAAAGCAGCACAGAGATTTGTACAAAAGTTCTCTCAGTCTCCTTCACGCACGCACAAACACACACTCACACTTTTAAGTACACTCGGATGTTGCTTTGCATCGTCTCCAGTTTATCGTCAGTAGTGATCCATCACAATAATATTTTTACTCTGTGGATTTTTATAAGTTACATTTTTAAATGTTGTTGTTGAGCTTCTGAACAAAGGGTTGGTCCCCTGGGGAGAAACACAAGGGAAAAAGACAGAGAGAGGGAGGACAATTATAAGAAATCATTACAACACTGTCACCAACACATTAAGGCTTTTATATTTTTGTTATTGTCAATTTTATACTTTTAAGTCACAAAGACTTGAAATATACATTTTAAAATTTCACAGGATTATAGATGTGAAAAAATCAACTGAATAAAGACACTGGCTTAGGCCCGAGACTTTCAAGACAGTTGAGATAAAAAACACACAGATAACATGTAACTTCAGTGTTACACACCCTTTACAATGATCATCATTATCTCCCAGGTCATCCTTAAATAATAAATCACAGAAATAAAGACAGTCCTTGTAACTCCAGACTCCAGAACATACCTGGGAAACTTTGTGTTTTTAAGTTTTCTGTAGTATCAAAGCAATCCGGTGATGGCTGTCTGTACACCCATGGGAACATGCAAACCAAAATGACTAATAGCTAATGTGGCATAGCTTTAATGATGCAAATTTGAAGATTTATTTATTTTTTAATTTTTAGTTTTTTACATTACAGTAGACAGGTGTCTTTTGACTCACTATGTTTGAACAGTTTTTAAACAAGAAAAGAGGCCTATGGCACAGAATAGTATACTGTATCAGGCTTTGGCTTATCACAAAACCTGTTAGCAGCATCAATTCATTGTTAGCTCTCATAGGAATTGAGCTATATAGAGAATATTATCAACCTGTCCAGGGCGTACCCCACCTCTCGCCCAATGTCAGCTGGGATTGGCTCCTGCCCTCCCCGCCACCCTACTCCGGATAAGCATTATAGATAATGGCTGGATGGAGGACAGAATATTACCAGTCAAGATCTTACCGTCTGCCATTTTGCCTTTGCCTTCTCAGCCTCAAACTTGGCCACCTCTTTACGGTCGTGGACTGACACCAGCACCTTCCACACGCCCAGCAGGATCAGGCCAATACACACAACGGAAAGGGAGACCCCCAGAATAATCATGGGGATGTTGGGAGGCTCTGGGCAATCTGGGACAGGACAGAGGATGAGAACAGACTCATGCTCCTTTTGTTTTGTTTGCTTTCTAAGTTGTTGTAAAGCTTACCGTATTGGAGATCGTAGGCAGTGGTCCCCATCTCAACTCCTACCACATTAAATGAGATCCAGCAGTCATTCGTCATCATCAGTGTGCAATGCATAGAAGGACTCTTGGCATAATCTGAGGGGAAATGTGAACATGCATATCCATAAGGAAGTGATGAATCCAACGTATATCATCTTCCCTTTCAACATTGTGCTGAGAATGTAAAAGGATATACTCGCCTCTGTTGTGCTGTCAGTGTGATTTCCATATCAGTGGCTACAATCTGGTGTGTGTGCATGTGTATGTGGACTACACCATTGTATTTCACATCTGAAGCATAAAAATCCACTGTGATAATCAGATATAGCTCTCGGCTTGCACATTATAGCAGGTTTAAAATAATCTCTTCTATAAAGGAGGACAAGGTCCTTTGGCTATTCATATGCATTACAATAGCTGGGCCTATACCACAAGGTAAATAATATGTTCCCCATTGTTCGGTGCTGGCTGAACAGACATGGATGGCGTTGTGTTAGAGAGGAGGGTGCAGGCTTTAGAGAGACACCTGAGTTAGTGCAGCATTCATCCAAATCTCTGATCCTTGGGCAAAGCTACCTATGTTGATACCATTATTACAAACACTGAGATGAGAGAACGAACTCTAGTGACAACAAGCATTTACACATGCACATCCGACAAAGCAGTAGGCTATATGTAGTTTGCTACTGACTTTGCATATGCTAACCCATTAAAAACAAACCTCAGGGGGTATATACTGCTCCTCAGCATTCTCCAAAGTATATCATATGTTGTTTTTTCTTTCCAGGTAGTCATTCATTTAAGTCAATGCCAGAGCAATATGAAAGTAAACTTTAACAGACATGAACAGAAAGATTTGCATAGAAATGTGCTTGAGACTCTGCTGTCAATCATTGAGAGAGACAGTTAACGAACTTTTTTGTTGTCAGTGTTATACACTATCATTGTCACATGGCAGCATTGCAAGCAGGGAGTTTTTGTATTCTCTTAATCTCTTCCAAGAAACTCTGTCGTCCAAGTTTAGATGCCCAAATGTCATTAATTCAAAAATCTAACTGGGGTGATAAGCAGTAACCAAACCTGGACATTATGAAAAAGCGTATATATATTAAAAAGGTAGTTTGGCTGCTGTTTTTGTTCCTTTATTAGATAGTGGCACTGTGAGAAACCATAAAGAAATATTGTAAGAGACAGACAGAGAAAGACAACACAGCATGCAACAAAGGTCTGTGACCAGAATCAAACAGGCTATGTTGGAGGAGTCTTAACCACTAGGCCACTAGGCACACCAAGACAAAAGAATAAAAAAAACAGTTGCCACCTACAACTGCTTTGCAAAACAATGTAACTGTGTAAAGGTGGAAGGTATATAAATGATACATGTGAGTAACGCAAACAAGTTTCAAGTGTTTCAAGTACTGGCTGGTTGATTTGGTAGTTTAATTACATAGCCTCCTATAATCATTATTTTAACAGTCTAGTTTTTTAAAAGAACTGTGAACAAGATTTAAAAATGAACTTCTCGGTCCTCTCTGGTCAACAAACATATAGTGGAGACACTGGTTTTAAATGACCTCAAAAATAGGCATTTTTCTACTGTTTCTTGTTACTTACTGGCCAAAATATGCAGCAATACCAACATACCGTATCTGCAATAAGCAAATATTGGCCAAAATAGCAGCCAGGCCAATTTATTGGTTTCAGTAATGTTAACATTTTGAGGTTAAAAGGTTAAAACATGCAAAATCAGGAGCATAACCTTTGAGTGGATGGAATCTCCTCAAAATCATTTTAAATTCTAATGTTGAAAATTTGGACTAACACCTGAATTGGGCGGGCCAATATTCAATACTATCATGTTTTCTAAGCGAATGATTTAAAGGGAGCGCCAATAAAAAAATTGACATAATCTGTGATTAAACTCATTATTTTAGCATATATAAAAATTTATGATGTAATGTAGAACAGTCAGACCAGGTTTATTCAATATTTTAATTTTGCATGTATTTACCATATAGTGATGTAGATCCATAATAGGGAATATCAGTCATTATTGTTTCAATCGTACTACCATACACCTGACATGAACAGATAAGTGCAGAAAAGAAGCAGAAACAGTACTATATTCACTAATTCCTAAGTGCACTTTCTATTTAAAGCAGACTGGTAGATTGTGAGAGTCCTTTACCTCCAGTTGTGTTGATGAAAATTTTAGAATTGCTGCACCTTTGATCACACAACTCAGCATCATCCTGATCCTGGAGATGGCACTCTACACAGGTCCTGATGTTAAAACATGCAGAGAAACAAGAGGTCGGTTTTACTCAGAGATGATACAGTGCCTCCTGGGAGGTTGAGGTTTAATGAGGCTTCAGTCGCTGACACTGTGAGTACATAAGAATCAAAGTGCTGGTGACTTATCAGAGTTTTCCCAAGGCTTCACTCACTTCATATCACCCATCTCCTCTATAACAGTGGTATCAAATGTCACTAGCCCTGACAGCTGCTTTACAATGGAGAAAGGAAATCTGCTAGTGCTGTGGTGGTGACATTAGCTGCCTTTTGATGCCACATGAAAGGTGCAGACACATGTGAACAAGGAAACCAGAGCCTGATATATCTGAACTGAAAAGAACAGACAGATCATGTGGCCTTAGGAGACAACATCTTATATCTTTCAGGTAAAAAGAACATAACAGTAACAGAGGCAAAGCCAACAAAACTCTCTACATTACATCCTTATTCACCTCTAAGAGCTGATGGCATGAATGTGTTCTCACCTTGCAGAGCTACAGGCGTCTCCACATGTTGGGCACTTCTCACACTTGTCCCCAGATGCTCCAGGTGCAGAGCAGACACAGTGGCCACACTCACATTTCCCCCTGTTGCTGCAGAGAGTGCCGTCCTCTGACATGCATGCTTCGGTGCTGGTGCTGCAGTTACAATACTCCCCTGTCCAACCACTCTGACAGTGACAGTCTCCGCAGTCACACACTCCATGGCCTAAAAACAGAAATTAATTCAAACAACAGGCTCACCACATAAATATGTGAATAATTCATGACATTATTACTCACCCCCACAGAGCTCCCCTCGGAAACGAACACAGGAGTAATTGTTACATTCGCAGTAAGGTCCGTAGATGCGGCCAAAGCTGGAGGCATGGCATTTACATTGTCCGCAGTAGCACTCCCCTTGACTGCTGCATATCTCAGACTCATTGTTTGCGAGGCAGTTACTCAACAAAGTGCTCTCCTCATTGCATTCACACTGTGCTCCCTGGAACCCCGGCTGACACATGCACACACCACATTGGAAAGTCCCTTGGCCCTCAGTGCATCGGCTGCTGTTTGCTTCAGGAGGCTGCCGGCAGTCACACGAGCAAACTGACTCCAGTTCCACCTCCAAGCTGTCCTGTAAACCCATCGGTTTGAGGGAGAAGTGCCGAACTCCTGACAGGCATCCTGGGACCACCACAGACACATTGAACACTACCTGAAGTGCAAAAAAGAGAAACAATTGGTGAAACTGATCCAGACAAGTTTTGCTACTCCTCTGTGCTACAGAGCTCCACTCCAAACACTACCAAAGACACATCACTGAGCCACACTGTTGCACTTGTGTTCCAAGGTTATGAAGAATGTGGGCACTGTAGTTCACTTTGAATCAGTCCCACCATAAACCACCCTGCTGCCATAAATACTCAGCAGAGCACCAGGTGTATATTAATCCACCTCTGGCGTCATTAAATGGTTTATTTTATTCAAACAACATTTGAAAAAAAAAAACCCAATGATATTCATTTTATAATCATATAAGACAAAGAAAACAAGCAAGTCCTCACAGGTGAGAAGTTGATTTACAGTTTTGCATTATAAAACTGTAAAATGATTAACCGGTAATCCAAATAGTTTCTGATTAATAGTCTGACATTCAAGTAAATTATTAATCAGCATGCAGCTCTAGAGTAAACAGAGAGCACATTATGTGATGGTTATATTAACTATTGTGTAATGTCCATCTTTTGTTGTTTTTTGTAGTGGTACTTCCTAACATTTTAATCGTATGATTTAATTTTTGTTGTCTACAGTTGTTTTACTGTACCTATCATTCCGCTGTCTTATCGATCTCCTTGTAAAACATGCTCAGCTGCACTGATCTAAATGAAAGATTCTATACACATACATAAAAAGAGCAACTTAGAGCAAAGGCAACTGACCGTCTCTCCAGGTTTAATGTCGGAGCAGTGTCTTTGATCAGGGAGGACTGATCCATTTGGGCACCTGGCTGTGAAGTACATCTGCAGCTCCTCTGTGTCTCCGAGGACTTCTAATTCAATCTCAGAGCGCAGTTCCTGGAACAGTGCAGACATATTGCAGAGCCGTGTATGGACATGCAATTGGCAGCACAGCCTGGTACTGGACACAAGGTTATCCTCTTCAAACAATCATGACAACCCAACTATCCTTCTAATATAATGAATGAATTTGTTATCATGAAGGGGAATTTGCTTAGCTTTAAGGGGAATTATACTCTCATCCTGCGCTGACCTGTAAAGTGCCATGACTGTGTGAAACCTCCTATCTACTTCACTATTTTCTGGGTGAGTCATCATCCCAGGTGTGCTTGACTGTAAAGATCGCCTGAGAAAAGAGTGACAGCTAACCTCAACTGAAGGAAACACCGTGTCTGACTGATTAATAAACTCAGTGACAGACTGTCTGGGCACTAACAGAGGGTTAACTGTGTGTTTCCTGTAGGCCTGCAAATTGTACTGTGTCTTCAGTGTTGCTGAGGGGGAAAAAATGGGGGTGGGGTGGGAGTATGGGGGTTGAGTCTGTAGGAAACAACCACCTGAAGATGGATTAAGGTAAAGTAAGTAAAATAGATTCAAAACACTTCACTGTTAGTAAGAAAATATGATGCATGATCTTTAATAAAAGCACCAATGTCTCAGGAACCATCTACAACTGTCTACACTCAGTGTGATAACCTCAGCTCTTCAGTATGGTTCATGTGGAAGAGACTAAAAGTGGGCGCCAACAACACAACTGATGAAGTAATTAGAAGACTGCAGACTTTCCACCAGTCGCTGCCGCCAGGGGGGATTTACAAAAGGACAGCGAGTGCAAAAGGTAGGCAGACAAAAACA